CCTCCCAACATAAACACACAAAAAAGGAACTCATTCCTCCTAATTAGATATTGGAAAAGGAACACCAGAAAAGCATAACCATGGATAAAATAGGGTAAAAGAAAGGAAACACGCCTCCTCGTGTAAAGAAACAAAATCGAGGCATTTAACTTTTAGAGCGATGGTTTTGGATGACGAAGGATAGACATTTCCTGAGTAAATTAGGCTCTCGTACTGTAGACTAGTAAGTGATGAGAATACAAATCTAAACAAGAACCCTAACGAATGTCTCATCATTGTCATTGAACATATTACTCTGTATCTGTAGTCTAAGGACATGTTGAGTAGTTAAATCCCAATGATACTACTTTGTAATTTGTTTACGATTGGCAATGCCTCCAGATCAGTGGATGTTCAAAATTTTCATGATATTTAGGCTATGGGATCTTGAAATGGATATACAGAATTTCAGACAATGCATAGGCAAGATGAAGATAGCAAAGAGAAGCAAATGGGCAGAAACCACTCCACATATTTTGATAATATAAGGAGATACTGAACTCATAATGGTGATACAACCAATTTTGTCCGCGACTTACTGGCTCAAAAACTCTCATTGTCATTTGTAACAATAAGAAGATACCAATATAAAGAAAAGAAAGGAACTTATGTCATGTCCACCAATTGGATTATTAGAGAGAAACCCTCGGACCTGGGACTTGAAAAATTCCCAGACTTGGGATAATGCCTTGAAATTCACACCTTACTGTGCCGCTTGAACCAATTTCTGAAAATATAAGAAATAAATAGCATATAATTGTCATTAATCACGATTAAAGAAGGCGCCGCTTCCTGGGCAAGAAAGAAGGATACACAAATGAAATGATTACTTTTCAACATATAATCACTTTCACAAAGACCAAGACGCCACTATTTCTAGTAATAACTCCCCCACACCCCAAAAGAAAGTTAGTCTCCCAATCCCAATTTATAACACTCATTCTATTTTGGGCCATTCCAACAACATTCTGCTAATAGCACTACTTTATACACCTTTCACAAGTATCAAGAATTAAAATTCAGTAAACAAAACAAAAATGAAATTTGCCGTAAGTTTTATTTTTTAAAATAATCAAACTACCAAGTTAAATTATATCTTAGACTCTACATCTAGTAAATAATGCTTCATGAAATACAACAGCGGTAATCTAAGTCGTTTTTAGCATTATATGATGAAATTTTGCCCCTACGCAATTATCTATCATAAATTGTGACTTCAGTTATATCTTCGCTATACAAGTAGTCAAGTACAAACTCATCTAGAATGCAACATTGTTCTTCAACTTTTCTTCAGTTTATTTGGTATATTCATTAACCAAAAGTAATAATTCATTTTCCACAAGATAGGATTTCCAGTCACATCTTATAATCTTATTTCACAGTACCAACCAAGGAAACCCCAATTCAACCAAGTCGGGCCTAGTGGCATCTCACGCATTTTCAGAAATTGTTTTCCATAACCTTATCGAATCAACTGCGCTTGGAAACTCAATAATAGGGTCTGAGCAAAATAAAAAAAGTGATTACTTGAATAGGAAACATGATCTACAACAAGAGTATTTTAGCTAATTGCTTGAATAAGAATCATAATTTGAACTCTGTTAACTTTTACTTTTCTTTCCTGCAAACTGAAACCTCCCTATCGTTCCTCTCTTTTCCCTAACCACACTTGGATTGAATAACTTTGAAAGAAATGGCAAATGGAAGCTCACAAACTGCTGTCACTTTCTTTAGTCCTAACTTCTATTTATACTTCTCAAGGTGGGGCTTTCTCTCTTCCCACTATGGTCCTAAGTTGTTAAGACACGGGTGTGGATCTAGAAGTTGGATCCTTCGAGATGCAAATTCTAAGATTCGTGGATTCGGATCTTAGTACGGATACGGGTGCGGGGATCCGGCTAAAAATAATTCAAAAAAAAAATCTCTAAATTATGAGAAATTTTGTGGAATACTTACGTATGGCTTGTAAAGTGTGGATTTCTTTTTTATTCCCAAGTTGTAGATAAGTAAAGGATTGATTTCCTAGATAAGGTACGCTATTTTCTTCAAATTTACCCTATTTTTGGTTCTGATTTCGGGAATCAAATTGTATTCTCTTCTCGAATTTTTCCGTCCATCGTGGTCAAAGTACCCAAAACTGTTTGACCAGATTCGGTACAAATCTCATACCCACACCCATACTAGTGTCGCGTCGACACGGGTGCGGCACCTAAACTGCGGTGTCGGAGCAACTTAGCTATGATCCGTAAACTTCTTGCATTAAACTTGATTAAATTTGATGTTAGTGATCAACTGATTAAAAGAAAAAGAGAGACATTTGATATTAGTCATTACTCATAAGCTCTACTAAAAGATTGATCACTAATTGAGTAAAGCATTAGCAAGACACGTATTTCACTAATGAACAACAGAAACTGGAAAGCACCTATTTAGTAATTCATAGAAACACTGCTTTTTTGGAATTTTTTTCAAAAATTAAAAACAAATACACCAAGGCAACGTTTCAAATTCTAAAGTTGTTCCTAAACGGCCCTTAATCTTTTTTTGCTACTGGTCCACACTGTTAGTATTTGCAAGAAGTAATTGGATAGAGAGCTCCTTCTGTTCTCGTTCAGTTAATAACTGAAATTCAAACTAGAATGATCATTCAACCACAAGTCTTCCTTTTTGTTCCCTTTTTTTAATGCATTAGCTGAAAGCGATTCCTTAAGAAGCACCGTTTTAAAAGAGAATCAAAGTCAAACAGGACTAATTTACTTTCTGAGAACTGAGATGAAAGTTGAGAGAAACAAATTTAACTTAAAAATGACAATAATATCTACCTTATAGAAAAAATTACAATAACATCTATGCTGGCCAGTACACCACCATCATCAGGGGAAAAAAGAGAATCTAAGGTCACTGCTTTCAGGAAGCACTAAACAAGAAAATGCAGGATTCTGTTTTGTTTTCCTCAACCCCTGGATGAACAGTTCCAATGTTTACAAACTACTTATTAATAGATTCTAAGGTATGGTTATTCAAATAATAATGCATAAATAACTCATGATTGTTATCATCCCATCCGACGCTATGAGATTTCCATATATGGTCTTCAATCAATAATGCCCAGATTATAGCTCCACATAAGTATAGGAAAGTAAGCTACTACAGTCTATGACTTCATCTATTTCTTAATCAGTTTTTAATGAACTGGGCATAAAAAGCTCTACCATTTGCAAATTGAACAGGTCAGTGTGATTGGAAGCAACATTACTCCTACAGGAGATTTGATTATCTCCAATTCTTGGAAGAGTTGTAAAAACTGAAATGTAAAAGTACCAATCAGTGTTCAGGATTTCGAAGGAACGCGTGAGTACCTCTTCTTTGTTCTTCTTGCCTCCAGTGAAGAGCTTGTATCCACCGTAGAAAAGCAAGCCCCATCCAGACAAAGATACAATCACAAACTGCAAGTTCCAGACATATAAATTTGACATTTCAACAAATATCAAAAGCCTCGAAAGCATGTCCTATTGAGCAACAAAAAAGAGACAACTGATTCTGTGAACTACAATTGTCAGCTAAGAGTAATAGAATATTACTCTTTATCTTCTGGAATTACATTTTTTCTTCATCTCTACTAAGAAGACATTTGGCACAAATATCTAGTGATGATTTAGGCAAATAGGAAGATAGGTTTGAACTCTGTATTTTTTATTTTATTTTCAAACCAACCAATAACCATGTTAAAAACACCAAACTTGCACAATCATTAGTTTATTAAGCTCCAGATACTTTACTCCTGATGAACACAAAATAACAAAAAATGTACCCTAGAACTAAAGCATCAAATTAGAGAACTCACATGTTCTTCTTTCCATTGTGCAGGATTCATAGGTTCTTTCCAGCAATTGACCTTAGGTGGCCCGTGATGATCTGAAAATACATCCATTTTTTCAATATTATCAGTCACCATCACACATACATACACATAAGTGGTACAATACATTCAGGTATCAGCATTTTTACTTTTAATTCATCCATAGGTACAGAGCCACATAAGAGAAATTATTAAATCGATCTAAAATATTTTGGAAAGAGAGGATATGAGAGATTAGTACCAGCAGCGCCGGCAAGGCCGCGGCGCTGAGAAAGAGAAGCTGCTTGAGCCGTAGAGCTTGAGATGGGGAAGCGCGTGAAGGTTGCGGCTCGACGCGCCGTCATCGCTGCCAGTGAAGTTGCCATGGCTTTCAGCTTTCTTCAGCTCTCAGTTGTCTCAAATGGACATACGGTGGTTAGAATGTATTTATCGACCAACGCTCAGAATTCGGCCCAAACGCCTTGCTTTTTAGTTTTTTTTCCCTTTTTCCCCTTTCACTTTATTTGATACTCCTTGTTCGTGAAATTACAATTATTTACACTTGAAAAATAAGATAAAGAAAATTAAATAAATATTCTTCGGGATAAAT